TGCTTCATAGTAGTGGATAAGAATGTAAGCAAACTTGTCTGATATTTTCATTAGTCAAGCTGAAAAAGTTTCAAAGCAAACAGTGAAACTGGTGAAAAACACATTAGAATTTTATATTCACGCTATTTCAAAAATTTAAGATTCAACAACGTAGGTAAGGGAATTTTTAAGTTGATTATTTCCATATTTAAAGCATTCCTTGAGTACCTCAAAACTTAGGGCCTGACAACTGGCCAGATTCTTCCCACTGAGCAGCACTTTATTTCTCAAAGAGCCCAACTGACGACTGTGGAAGTACTGCTCAACACAAGAGATGACACAATCTAGCTCTTTACCAAGTAACTTTTATGCTGAAATAATAATGCTGAAGTTAGTTCCTTATTCCATAGGCATTTTCTGTTCCACTTTCATTTTTCAAGGTGATTGAATAAACATTTGGAAAGCGTGATTTATTTCAAGCCAGTGGGTATTTCCCCATTGGAGTCCTCTCCCAATATGAACCCACTGCAAGTAATGTTTCGATGAACTCCAATACGACTTGTAACAAAAAAAGAAGTCCACAATGACTCATGGTTTGAGAAGAGTTCTGGCAAAGCATGATGCTCAGTACAATCTCTTGATAAAGCAATCAATGATTTGTCGCAGGTTGGTTAGCTCTGATGAAAGATATCTTCATGAAAAGACAAAAAAAAACCAAACAACCCTACTTCTAGGGAGCCCTAACCCTACTTGCAATAGAGCTATTTTTTCTACCTGAGGCTATCAGTGAGAATACAGTTGAGAACAGCTTTGCCACAACAGCACTGAGAGAATTGCAAGGTGTTGCCTGTGTTAATTAGTATGCTGAAGCATGTTTTCTAATATGCTTTGATTTGTGATGATTTCATGAAGAGACTCAAGTGTTGAAGTCAAAACTTCCATACAGTTTCCTCTGTGCATTTTTTCGACACATGTATGAGTTAAGACACTGGCAGACTTATTATTTTGTGAAGAATTAAAAGTATTAGAGAGAAGGGACTCCGTTACCTCGGATGTTGGATGATGCATAAAACAACAGCTTTCCTGCAACGTTTCACTACAAAACAACTGGCTCAACTAACAGTAACGTCAAGATTTTTTCGGCTACTGGTAGTTGCATCACACCATTTGCTTTAGCAGATGTAATCTGTACCTTGTGTAGTTCTCAACATTTCTAAATCCTACTTTTGAAATTTGCCATTTTACAATTCCCCATCAGTGGAGACAGAGACTTCAAATCTCACTGGGTCTTCCTTTTCAGTATTTCTGCCAGGATGTGAGTAACAGATAGCTGATCAGCAGAAATGAGTAGACCAATTTAGGGTTTTCCAAATACAATGGTTCCATTATTTCACATTTCTAAAATCTTCTTAATTGAGCAAGTTAACCAAAAAAGCCCCCAAAAGACCTGTCGGTTTCCAGATTGTTCACATTTCTTTTAAAGAGGTTTGTTCACTGTTAGCCTTGGTTGTCAGTCATCTTAACGATTCCACCTCAGCAATTATGTCCATATCTTATCTAAAAACCATACCCTTCTTTCTTACCCTATCAGAAGCACTATTGCTATGTTTCTAAATGCAGCTTCTCTGCTCTTCCAGTTCTGACTTTCCCCACATTTAACACATACATTTCTTACCTTTCACCAAAACTGTTAGTTTCTTTAGTTTTCATTACTTTGCAATTTTTATCTTAACCCTGGCAGCCAAGTAAACATATAAAACTGTTCTCATAACATGTTACTCTTTTCTCCAAACACCTCTAATACTCCAAAAGATTTCTTTGTGAATCAGCAGATTTGTCAATTTGCATGTATTAAAAGTAACTGATCTATTTTTCCTTTTGCTATTATATTCCAGCTTGACTTTCAGCCTGACCACCAGATAATGAGCACTCTTAATTTCTGTTTTTGACAGACATTGTCAAGTGATTATGTATTTTCCACTGAACATCATATGCCCTGCCTAATTTCTACTGGCTCCTTTGTATGATTTGCTGATAGATCTGACCTCAATAGCTATTGCTGTCCTCAAAACAAATGAATTGCCTTAGTAAGAACTGCAAATAAGCAAATACAAAGTATAAGAAGAAAATAATTTTTGAAAATATTATGAAAATAATATTTGAAAATGTGTTTTAAATTTGATTCACATTTGCCTTCATTCTAAAAGTCACTTTCACACAAACAAGCAATCTACCTGGTTTCTTCCTCTACGTTTTCCATAATTTCTTCGCACAAGTGCTTTATAATTCTCATTTTTCTTGGTTAGATAATAATACAGCACACAATCAGGAACATTCTATGGTGAAAGACCAGAAGTAATCAGTTTTTGCAGCTCAAAAGTCCAAAAAATTAAATGTGACATTGCACTATTTACATTAGTTAAGTCACTAGGATTTAGCAAAATTTGAAAATTTTGCTCAGTAATGAAACAGATGAGCAAACATAAATCTGAATAAAATTGTTATTGCATATTAAACCTAATCCCTAGATATTATATTCATAAAACCTCTCAGCTAGATCATTCTGCATGATTTAACTAACATCTTATCATTAGCAAGTTCAAGTCCTTCCTTATATTTTTGAGGACCCATGTCATAAGCAACTGGACTGATCCTCATTGTTAAATGATTTTTCTTCAGTTTTGTCTTTCAAATAGACCGTGTAGAACCTCAGCCCCAACTTAAAGTCTGACTTTGCTTTCAGTGAAGTCTAATTGATTTTTTGGTGTGGGATCAGAGTCCTTAGAGATAACATTGCTAACTTAACTAAAGAATTGAGGTTTCTTACCTGCTTCAAATAAAACAAAATTGCAATGTCCTCTCTTCCTTTAGTCTTAATGCACAAATGTAATGCTATTGAGGGGTTTTTTTAGGTGTTTGTACACAACTTGTTTTTAGGGTTCTATTTTGTCTGAAAAATAATTGCTACCACCACACTGGATGAGGGATTTGATTTTGAAATTATAAATTATTCCAAGAAGAGAACAAGTCACTGGGACAACCAAAAAGATCAACTAAACAAACTCGCTTCCAGAAAATAAAAAGCAGTACACAGTGTTTATGTCCTGAAACATCTTACCTTTCTTTCCAGGTAGGAGGCAATTAGACCAAAGTTCTTGGGGTGTTGGACAAACCTTTTATAAATCAAAGAAATATTTCACTGTAACAGCATAATACATGATAACATCAATCTAAAAGTCTGGAACACAACTGTGTCCCATCAGCAAGCCTCTGACTTCCCCAAATGAAGCTAGTCTAATCAATGTATGCAAGTTTTAGATCTAGGCACATTCTAACTACATCTACTTCTGGATTACCAGCAACAAGAGCTGTACCTAAATGTTAATGTGTTCAGTAAATTAACTTTTAAAAGATTTCCTGTACAACAACTAGAAGTAGAAATCAGCAAAAAAGTGGTGCTTGATTTAACTGGGAAGCGTGTGTGTGTGTTACTGGACACTTTTACCAGTGTGAACTGAAATTGGTTAGTTTTTACTATGTACTTAGACATGTATGTCACTCACAGCGTAATGGAGACAAAGATAAAAATGCCAATTACTTTTCCTTGAAGATCTCCTTCTCATGGTCTGTCCAAACGTTCATGAACTGTCTATCTTTATAAACCTTCATGGGATCCTCCATCAAACCATTCATATTAATAAACTTCACTCGTCTTTGTTCTGCATCAAACATCATGGGAGGAATGACAGAGAGCTGACGCATTTGTTTTTCATTGTTCTAAGGGCAAAGGACAAATAGTAGGAGGCATTAAGTGTTTATATTAGGAAATAGCTTGTATAGGCAACATATTACACCCATTCACTATGACTTAAAACAGCAGCACCATAGTACTCTGCCTACATCTTAATCTTCCCAAGCATTTTAATTTCTCCTTTAAAAGTTATGCCCACCCAAATTAGTAGTATGAACTGAAGGGATGACAAAACAGTGCTATGAATTTCACGATTATGGACATTAGTCAAATATTTTAAAAGCAAAAAAAAGTTACATCTTAAAATCCTATTTGCCTTAGAAGTGGGGAGAAATAGGACAGTTACAGTACACGTGACATGCCAGGACAGAAGTGCTTAACAGAAAGCTAGGTCACAGAGCAAACACCCTTTTCAGGAGAAGGCTCACAGACGCTATCCTAAACTAAACTAATCTGAAGGGGGCACGAGTGCACACACATGTATCCAAAGATGTTTTTCAGTATCTAAAGGAAGAGTTATAAATTATTTGCTGCGCTGATAAAATGAAGTACACAAAACAGCCTCACCTCCTGCTCAGAGAGTCCATCAATGATTTCAGAAATCTCATGTTCACTTCTAGCAATAGTTGCTGAAAGACCAGCCCCTCTTTGACCAACCCTAGATTTTGAGGAAAGGGAAGGGGGGGGTGAAGGGAAAAAAAGATCCATGTCTTGATATTTTGTACAAAAGAATACATTTAAAATCATTTAAATATAGTTAATTTAAGCCCAGTATCTGAGATACCAATCTTTTATGGAAGAAGGGCTGAAAGAATACCCAATCTAAGTTACACGGTGCACTTTAAAATATGACTAGCAAGGACTCATTCACCAAGGTGACAGGCAGCAGAACTGCCTGTGTCGATACAGGAAGTATAAGAGGTTTAGCACTGACTTCAGTAGGAGAAACTGATTTTGCAAATCTTCCCCTCTGCTCTTGTTCCACTCCGTGCACCTGCCAACACACACACACACACACACACACACACACACACACACACACACACTTGCCTAGAAAAGATTTAGTCATTCCAGGTACCAATATAAGTCACCAGTGCTCATTTCAGTGAAGGGAAAGAAAGTAAATAATTGTGAATCATTTCTCAATTATTTATCTCTAATTTTAAGAACATCACACTAACTCATTATTATAAAATGCAGTTCCCTTCATAAACTCAGTATTTTTTTAAATTTCAGCACTCAAAAAAAAGTGCAACAGGGAATAATCCTGGGCTGACAAGCAGATTAGCAAAATATCCAATGGGCCTTTCCCATCACTAAAAACAGTTTTGATGAAAGTCAAATGACACAACATTATTTCTAAAATAAGCAAACACATAAATAAACCATTTCTTAATACAAACTGGGCAGTAATACATAGGGACCCCAATCACTGCCAGGGAATTTATCACACTTGATACTATATAAACATAGGCAAAAGATCTTTTAAAAAAAAAAAAAAATAGAATATAGCCCTTTACTATAAGAAGTTTTTTTCCGTAAATCCTCCCCCACCCCGCATGCGATCACAAAACATAGATTAGGGGTTAAGAAAGATGATGGTCCGAGTTCTATATTAGGTTGAGAGATATGGGTCTCTTCATCTAAAGCCTAAATTTGCATATATAATTTGTCTCCACAGTTCTTGAGAACTAAGGTGCAACTGAAAATTTTGATCAAATGGTATTCTTTCAAACGCAGCTTTTTAAAATTAAAAGATTATTTACAGACCTATAGAAAAATGTTTATAATTATGAATGATTTACATTGTACACTTCTTAAAACTATTTATGTATAATTTTCCTTGCTTAATTTTGACCTACCAAGTGTTAAACAGCAGGGAGCTATAATTATAATTTCACTTAATGTCAGTAACCACAGCTTCCTGACTGAAAAAACATGATATGTCTAACAAAAGGTCATTCAATAACAACCTTTAATTTAACCAAAAAAAACCCCAAGTAAACTCTGTGCTTTGACTTCAGGCTATGGAATCTGAGTGGTCATGAGTCAGAAAGGAGTAATATAGGTATCTACTGACAGGGAAATACTGGCTACAAAATGACTTCTAGATCTGAACTCAGTTTGCCCATGCTAACGAATAATTAAAAAATGAAGGTATACCCCCCGCTGCAAATACATAGGCAGGTCATCTAAGTGACAATAACCTACCTCTTTGAGGCAGCCATCATTTAATTAATCAATTCCTACATGTATTGAGTCAGTGGGATTTCATGACAGATTTAAAAGGAAAGAGATGGAACAAAGGACAAGGTGGAAAGAAGCAGAGATGCCAGTAAAAAGCTAAAAAACAAAACAAGGTTGGAAGTCACTAAGCAGAAGGGAAAGGGGCAGTACAAGACGGGAGGGAAGAGAGGACAAGCAGTGAAAGAAGTTATGAAGGTTCTTGAGAGGTGAAAAGAAGCTTGAATTCAATGCCTTGAAACATGAGGAACCATGCAAGGGCATGCATTCAAATATAAAACAAGCTGACATTTCACTTTGTCTAGGAAACCATGGGTATAAAAGCCACATTTCAAATTATTGCACAGGAGAGGAACTGAAATAGTTTGTCATGAAACAAATGTTTTGCATTGGACAAAATTTAAGAGCAAGAAGATCACCCTTAAGCAATATCAAGAGTGCATGCCATTACCTTTGAAATCGTTCTTGCTGCTCTCTCTGTTTTCGGATTTCTGGGAACTGTTTCTCATAGTACTCTCTTGTTTTACTCTCTTTAGCTTTCCTACGAGGATTATTTTCTATCCTGTCGACTTTTTTCTCCCATGCCTCCATCAATTGATCATAACGTTGACAAATCTTCTGTTCCTTTAAAGTTAAGGGGAAAAAAGAGAGAGCTGAAAACAAACACACCAAGTTATCAGTGTATTGCTAACTCCGAGCTATGACATGTTGTACAGAGGCCACAGGGTTTAGAAATGGATACTCAAAACTCATCCTAAATTGAGGCCGGTCTATTCTGAAGAGGTAGTGCCCTCAGTTTTAGGCAGGGAGGAAGAGAAGAGGCTTCTTCATTGCCAAAACCTCTTCTCTATGTTTAGCTATTTCATTCTGGTTTATGCACATTGTTATGATTTTGGATGACACCATCAAATAATTTAGTTATAGGTTCTGGATGAAGAGATGAGAGTCATTGAAAACAGTTCTTTTAATTCAAACACTTTTCCACGGGTTTGCAACCAAAACATTGCTGCTTTATGCAACAACATGAAGAGAAAGAGACTGACTAGTTTACTTGCATTTTTCTTACTAAATTAAAAGCAAAATGTATGTAGAAAGCATAAGCGTGAAAAGTAAAATACTGTAAACATTTTAATTATCTTAGATTTTACCAGTTTCCAGACAGCATTCTAACCTAAATTTACAGGGCAAGGCAAGTTAAGAGGAGACTACTTTACACTGAGAATAAAATTGGAGTGGAAAATATAACCTTTTCATTTAGTCTGAAAAATGCTGTTGGCAAGATACAGTGACTCTTACTTAATTCACTAATTAGTTTGGTCTGGTCTTTACTCAAAAAGCCTTAATTAGTAATTATTTGCTTTCTTTTTGAGCTTATTGTGAAGAAAAAACATTTCACTCTTACGCTAGTTAGAATTTATGTCCAGCCCCTTTCTCTTACTCTATATGCACACTCTCTTGAAATAATTCTTGCATAAGCCACTGCTGAAGACAAGCATGCAGTGAATATGAAAATCAGCCTAAACTGTGCAGTTCTCTAAAGCTGATGTATATTAATGTAAAAAAGAATTTGAGTCTAGTGTCGAATGGGCTTAAGTCGCTATTCTGATTTACACAAAGGCACTGTAGCATTACCCTTTGTTTCCTTGCATGATTTCTTCTCTTAAAAAATAAAATTAGCTTCTTCCTCATCACCTGGTTTCTAGAAAACAAAATCAGAAAAAACATTAACCATAATTTAACCAACATGTTCACATACAACATCCAAGATCTCAGAAAAATTATATTCCTTAAAATATTCTTAAAGTTGTTGTAAAGTCTTCTGTGCACTAGACTGCTTCATTTCATAGTTGCTAGGGGCTGGAAGGGACCTTACATTTGATGCTGTTTCTTTTGACACACCAGAAAATGTTTGATAAAGTAAAATCCTGCTCCAGACAACAAAGGATATCCCTGAAGGAAGGAATTGCTAAGAAACAGAGAGAATCCTGGCTAACCTAGGCAAGCATGAGCTTTTTATCCATGAAGGAGATGAGGTGATTCGCTGAACTTGGGAAAGATGGTACCCTGCAAATGAAGGACCTCTGCAACTCCCTCACATTGCAAGTTTGCCAACGTAGGTAACCTTATCTGATTTCACACTAGTTTCTTAAACACTACATAACTTGCATATGCAGGAACATCATAAATGATGTTGGTAGACAGCTTCTGATTTTGGTTGAGGGTTCGATTCCAGTAGTTTTATCTTCTTCATTCAGAGATATTTTTCAGGATCTCATTTGCCCATTATCTTACAAGTGTCATGAACCAGTTCTCATGTATAAAACATTTGCCTTACTACAAACTTTTACTACCGAGACCTAAGGAAGTATACAATGGTACCCGAAAGCTTGTCTACATCCCTTCCAGCAATCCAGTTGGTCCAATTAAAGCTATCACCGACAAAAATCCTTGTCTTCTGCATTATGAAAATGAGACAAATTATTAGTAAGACTTGCAATGAAGCCAGAACTCCAGTTAGAGTAAAGGTCTCAACACATTGCTATTTAAGGGTTTTTTCCAGTAGTTTAGAGCACTTTGGGTTAGACTACCGGATGAACAAAATTTTAAAACTAGGCAGCCCCAACACAATAAGTGCAAATTCCCACCCACCTGCCTCACAAATAGCACATCATTCAAGTCACAGTGCTTTTATACTATGCACAGTATGGGACTGAATTCAGCTATGTAAAATGATATAGTTTATTTAGAGTGTCTCAGTGGAAAAACAAACAAATACCTACTTAATTAGGCAAGCTACTCTGAAAGAAGGGACCAAATGTAGTATTACACAGATGTGAGAAAAAAAGTTGATTGAATGAGTCATCTTATGTTCAAATCTTCCCAGTTCCTACTATATGAACTCTTTAGAGATCATGGCAACTAGGCAAAAACTAGGTTGCAAATGGAGGGATTTCAAAAATTTTATTTCTTAACTTTGAAACCTTTAAGAATATCTACAAGGAAAATTAAAGAGCTAATAATCACAGCAGATTGTATAAGCAGTTTTATCTTTAGCAAGTACATGGGAATGAACCAGAGTGCTCTGAACACTGCACTGTAAACTTACTTTAACTCTCACAGCAACTTGGGTTCCTCAATGTTAGACTTTAATCCCTATTAGCCAGAAAGTATAAAATCTTCGGTTCCAGCCTGAGACCTCGGTATTCTAAAGCTTTTTAAAACAAAGTGGCTTTTGTTCCAAAACAAGCATCCCAAATAAAGAAAACAAATAGGTTTAAAAAGCTTTAACCTATACAATATTTAATTTGAGCCTTGTGTGTTTCTTTCATAACAATTTTTTTTTTAAGTACATATACATATATGTACATGCAAAGAGTTTTTTAGACACTGGACATTAAATAATTTTGTAACCATTGCCTTCACCAGATTAATTTTAAATGAAGAACTGAGTATTTATGTTCCACTCTGGGTATCAAATCAAAGGTTTCAATTATTTCTTAAGTTTGCTTCAGCTTTAAGCCAACTATATGATACAAGCTCTTGGTGAAGCTAAAAAAACCTCAAGCATCTGCGTGATCAATGCCAACACAAGTACTTGCTGAAAAGAGATACAGGTCTCCTTGCAGAACCAAGCTATTATTTCAATAAAACTAAACTGAGTCTCAAACTTCAGTCAACTTCATTCTTTTTATTTTTTTAAAGAAGCAAGTATTGTTTTCCCTGGTGCTTTATGTTAATCAGTACGTAGTACCTGCATAACCGTATATTACTCGTTCCCCATGTTTCCTCTCACTAACACCTGCAATACTATCATATTTTAATTTGTGCACCTGTCTACAAAAAGCAAATCAGTAAACACTAACAATGTATATAATGGTATCATCAGCATCAATCTAAAAGTATTACGAGATTTCAGCATCCTAAGCACTCATAAAATAGCTCTTTGGAGCCATCAATAACACTTCAGTGGAAATAGCTCTTTTCTGTAATTCACAAGAAATGTAACAATTCAGAAGAGAGCCTTTTAATACCCTTCATATTACAACTGACCAGCCATAATTTCAGTGTACAGTCTATCCTAACAACAGGTATATTCACATAAAAACCATTTATCAGTAACTAAGTGACTTTACAAAAGCCCTTGAAAGGATAGTATTATTTTGGCTTGGAGATTGTTTCTGGGCGGACTTTATATAGAATTAATTAGCAGTGTCATTACATAATCTAACGAGCCATGGTAGGGCTTCTGATCTGGATGATGTTAGACAAAAAACAAAGTTATGTATTCAAGCTGACTTAAAACCAGGATAATACCCCATTAATTAACATCTGCCAATGTAAGCTCCTAGCATCTGTCTAATGTGGACTATAAGGAAATAACCTTAACAAATCTTAAAATGACCACCACATTAAAACGTGATTACCTGTCTACAATAACTCTTCTCCTCAACTGTACTGCCTCCACATAGCTACACTCTTAAGAGCGATGTGGCAATATGAGAGACTCTTGGTACTAATACGACGAGTCTCTTTGGAAGCCATGTCACGAACGAGAACATAGTTTTGCCGAAACATCTTTAGGCTACATTTGCAATTGCTTGGTCTTACAGTACAGGTGAAAGAGAATAGGGAATACAAGAATCACAAAAGACAGATTTATAAGATTATTCTCATGTTGCCTAGGACACAAACACTGTCTTGCCAATAGTAGCATCATGCTATCGTACTCAGCCATCAAAGAGTTGGGTGTACTAGAAAAGCAAATGCAACTTGAAAGGAATGCAAACCTTGTTTGGTAGCCATACAACCCTGGAATAACACATGATGAAACAGGAATCTTGAAAGAGTATTTTGGAAAGAGGCACAGGTTGCTTTGTTGTAAGTTGAAGGTCACACTGTTATTCCACAACATCCCTAGAAATGTGGAGCTAAATCCTTAATCATTTTGATGTAACCACATGAGCATTTGACATCTACCTTTATTTTTTACTTATGTTTTTGTATGGGGCAGGAGGGAAGGCATCACTGCCTTCCAGTAGAGAATGCCAGTACTGAGAAGGCATGGCACTTGAGATGATTGGGCACGCTAAAGAACAAGCTGGATAAAATCTATTTTTAATTGATAGTTTTAGTTACAACATATTCTTTCACTTTGCTTTTTTTAAAGAAAACAAAATCAAACATGATTTGTGAGAATTTAATATTGAGGTCTAATGAATTAAAATCTTTTTAATTAAATAAAAATATTAAAGTACTACATGTGTGCTGACAAAGTTTTACAGAAAAGTTAACCCACTGAACGCATTAGCTAAGCTCTTGGAAACCATGTTTACTGAAGGAATAAACTAGCTTTTGACAGCTGTAGCCTCCTCTGCAGGTGCAGAAAGCACATTTCCTTCATTTCATAGCCGAGTTCAACAACAGTTCATCCAAAACTGAGAAATCGATTAAGAGTGGAGGGGAAAACCCCCCCGAAAAAACAGGAAGCTTGTTTTCCTATTCCAAGCTGTGAATAAAAACTAGGTATGGGAAGCTCTAAATAACTTGCTCTAAATCTTGTTGTATCCTTCAAGAGCAAATCCATTAAAAAAACTAGATACTTCCTTTAATAAAACCATTTTAAATACAAAATGTTTCAGTATGAAAAAGGTTATGTATCCAATACATTTAATGCAGCTTTGCTTAATTTGTAAAATTCTAGTTTTTACCCTTAATTGAATTTGAATTTCTGCCCAAAATCAGTTTAACTCACACCACCAATAAAATGGCCATCATTCATCAATTCTTCATACAATCTATAAATTTAGAATTTCAGTAAGTGGATGCTAGGCTAGACAGTTGTTTGACTGTTTAGAGCGCGTATCCTCCTGCGTACTGGGTAACTGATTATTTAAGTTCTGGGTTTTTGCTTGCTGATCACTCTGTGTTTATACTGGTTTTGTTGTTGTTTTGTTAAACAAAACAGGAAGAGGCACCTAGAAATACACAGGAAGCAATAAGAGGTACCCTTCTGCATCAAAGTGTAAATAAGTGCTATTGGTAGAAAGATGGCAAAAAATTAATGAATATTAACTTGCTTCTAGGAGAGGTCAGGAGTCCACTTGATGTTGCTAAATTCAGTACATCGTAACCAACAAATAATGGAGAAATGTAGTATGCAATCACAGCCCGTCACAGAAAGCACAACAGCATTGTACAACAATGACAACTCCTACTTTTTATTACCAGTAGGGAAGGTTTTAGAAGTTGCTAAACATGTTCAAGGAAGGAAGTGACAGTCTTTTTAAACTACTCTGGTCTCAATGTTCAGTTTTGGAGAAAATATCTTTTACAATACCTAAAACATTCTGTTTTTGATTCTGAAAGGAAGTGTATTTCCTTCTCTTATAGTGTTTGCAACTTATTTGCTGCAGCACTGACTTGTATACAAAAACTAGTACATTAAATGAACTAGAAACTATAAACAAAATTGAAAAGGTCCTTTTAAGTTCAATATTTGCTTTGTAATACTGACAAAGTAAAAAAAACATTGAATTCTAAAAAAGCATTGTTTAGCTCCAGGGCTTTTATGGCAAGAATACAAATTCCAATACTTACGTTTTGATGTTTTCATGGTACACCTTTGTGTCTGACGGTTGGTTGTAAAGTGGCTACAAAGCAAATTGGTAAACACATTAAAAACACTGGACTTGTTTCCACTCTAGTGAGTACAGAACAAGACTATAAAAGGGTATTTTTTTTAAATTATAATGCGCTGCCTACTTTATATTTTCTGGTGCATTGCAACTTGATTGTCCCCCAGGCATGCACCCATCAGCTGATGTCTGAGATGTCCAGAAGTGGACAGGCACAGGGCCAGATACATAAAAAGCCAGAGGCAGGACGGACTTACTAGTTCAACTTTTGGACCAAGACCTTCAAAAATCTTGTGAGCTTCTTCTGCTTTTTTCTGTAAGAGATCAGTTTGTACAGTCTAAATAAATAGTAAAGCAGTTGCAAACATTAAAAATGCAAACTGGTAAAAAATGCACAAGATCTTCCCCTGAACTCATCTGCAAAATTTCTATCCTTTCCATATTTAAGTCTGTCAGCCTACTTCAACCATCCTGTCTGTAGTGAGTCTGGCAAACTCATACATACACTGTACATGGCTACACAATCTACTTGGTAACTCTATATTGCAAGCCCCTCTGAGCAGGAACTCTCCTCTTCAAAATTAAAAAAATAAACTATCACACTGGAGGAAATCCTACACATACTCACCCAAAGAGGAGAAAAGTTCTCCATAGCAGAGAAGCATAATTTAGAAAGGCTAGCTTAAGACAACATTAACTCAAAAACCAAAGGAAAGAAAGGCAGATGCAAGACAGACTTTGTCCTACCAGTGCTTACAACAGAACAGCCACTACAAAATGTTCACTTATAATATTACATGAAGCTATAAAAACATGAAGCTGAATTAGACTCTGTTATCTCTATCCATCCTTCCAAAGACTTGCTTTGGTAGACAGACTAAGACTATCCAATACATTAATTTTAAGCCATGTCCTCCCTATAAGTATGTCTACATGAGGTCCCAAGGGGCAAACATGCCAGCAAGCGCACACAAAGCAAGAAGAAAGTGATTATTTTTAGAAAGAATGTTCTGCTAAACTTTACTACTTTTCTACACGTTACTCTAAACCTAGAAAACTGACAAACATTTTGGAATCCACAGCTGTGGAAAGTAATTATATATCAGGCAAATGTTATAGTATTACTCTGGTAAAAATGGTTTACGTGGTTTGAAAACACATTTTGGGACTAAACTTTACCCCTGTTATTTCAGCTAAATTTTATCAAACTGGAGTTGAGCATTAAAAAAAAAAAAAGCCCCAAGGTCTGTTCCAACATAGCTTCCAATTTCTAACCAAGCTAGTGAAAGAAAACTACTTTCTTGCACAACTGCAGAAAAAGTGATACCCAAACAAAGATTATGTACACAGTCACAACATTTGTTTAGCAAGTGTTGTAGAAATAAATTCACAGTATCTGAACTCTGGAGAACGCAACTATTTGTATTGGGCATCAATATTCTTAGCTTTGCAGAAGCCATAAAATAAACAGTCCCTGCCTTGCAAAGTTGACCAAGTCTCAGCAATTTTAAACCAATCACAATCAAACTCTTTTTCGGAAAACAAAGAGCATAAATGTGAAACAAGATTAAAACTGATTATTTACGTCATGGTTTCTTGCTTGCTGATCACTCTGTGTTTATATTGGGTTTTGTTGTTTTTTTAAACAAAACAGGAAGAGGTACCTAGAAATAAGCAGGAAGCAATAAGAGGTACCTTTCTGCATCAAAGTGTAAATCAGTGCTATTCGTAGAAAAAATTAATGAAGATTAACTTTCTTCTAGAAGTCAGAAGTCCACTTGACACTGCTAAATTTATAATGTCCTAACTAACAAATAATGGAGAAACAAAGTTGAGCAAATCTCAGTAATTTTAAACCTAGTTCAGTAATGCTTCATTTTTGGCATTTTCTCCATGGGAGACAGCTTTGTAACCCGAGGAGCAAGTCAGGCAAAAGAAGACACAGCAAAGGTGATTGACTAACTGCTCAAACATGATGTTACACCCTCAACCATACGTCAAAACGACTCTCCCTGTCTGCTGACTGACACAGAAGACAGTGGTCCAAAGCAACTTCAGCATGTGGCCATCAGTGGCCAAAATGAATTTATTTAAAAATCTCTGGTTGATAACCAGAACAGTCAGTTAACTTATTCGTTACGTGTATTCAGAGTCATTAATTTTTGTGCATGCTGCTTCATGGGACTGCTTCATGGGACTTCATGGGGCTTTGAGGAAATGTCAAGCACTATTGACCACATTAATTATTTACCCAAATAACTACCCCAAGCAAGAAGAAACCTTCAGGCACCCCACTCCCCACATAATCAATTAACCACAGAACTACGGTAGGGTGAAAATGGACTCTGAGATGTCCAGGAAGTTTGGGGTGCAGGGAACCACACCTGGTACAAAAAGGGCATTTCTCAACTACTGTACCTTATTAGCCACTTACACAACACAAGTATCTCTTGAAGTTGGCCCCAATATTTCATTCTTTCATTCATCTACTCTCCCAAACCATGAGGTGTCAGAACTCAGATTTTATATAAAAAGCATAAAAACCACATGACACACCCAGATTTACTCACCTACAAATGTAAATGAGAAACTAATCACAAATCCTGGTAAACAGAGGGAATTCAGATCAAATTCCCCGAGGCACTAAAACCATATCAAAGCACAAATCTGGTGAAGAGGGGGAGGAGTCGAAGACTCATTTTCATACACTATTTTCTAGACACCTTCTGGGTTTAAAACATTTGGAGATCAGGAAAGAAAATCTCATGCAAACAATAACTTCTTTTTTAATGACAAAGTACTTTGACTGAAAAAAATTATCAAAATGCCCAATGATAGAAGAGAAAAGACTGTACATATTTACAAAGCTGAACTGTGATATAATGAATTTTGGCATAATGGATAAGATGCATAATCATGCTCAGTCAACCAACCTAAAATAAATAAATACACGGAATAAAAAGCTTACCCGATTTTCATCGTAAATAATTTGGACAATACTGCGGTGTTTCTGTTCCACTGGAGGAGGGGAGACAGGCCTCTCTGGCTCTGGAGGCTTAGCAGCTTCTTCTTCAAGTTGTTGCTAAGAGACGAGAGAAAGAAAATCAGCCATCCGCACCACGTTACCCTAACCAGTAATTAGTCACCAGAGATAAAATATGCATGTGATCAACAGTTTGATGTGCTTGTCATTTCACTATTTAACTTGCAAGGTATGACGGAACAGGGTTTAATGCCAATGTGAGACTTTTAAAATATTAGTGAAGTCACTCTTTCTAAGTCTGAACTGTCAAACAACCAACTCTGATTCAAATGACCGATATTTAAACTTTCAACCAAAAATACTTAAGTTACACAAAATTTTGCAAACTTTCTTGCAGCACAACAATCCCCAAATATGGTAAATCCAAGAATACGCTAGAATAAATTATTTTAAATTCTGGTTGCCACCATCTTTGCTATCTTCTTAAGAGTTACTGTCATCCTAAAATTCCACAGAAATATACCCACTCTAAAATGACACTTCATGGCAAAAATAAAACACAGAGAGATTTAAAGGGATACTTGGTGCTTGGTGCTTTTATTTTTCACAGCAACTACACTTGTGTGCGCCTTTCATCCCAAAGTATTTCTATGTATTCAAACCAATGGCAACTTCATTTTTATGCTTTAACAGCCTTCCCTTGTGCAGGCCAGAAATACACCATAAAAGAATAAAATACATTCCAAGGTATGACGTATCATGTTATAGGATTACATGAAAAAAATCAGCTTTTAAAACTTCACAAAATACCACATGAAGCATGTTCACATACCAAGTTGGATTGAGTCTAAAGTTTAAGCTTACTGAAATTCAGAGGTCTCACACACTTTTTCAGCAAGCAGTTTGCTAGTAGTCTTATTATTATTTGAATATTCACAAAAAGCTGTGACACCACAATACTCATTCATTTTGTATCAAGAAAGGGAGAAAGTGGCCAAAAAGTAAGATGGCCATTAACATGCTCTTTCGTTGATCTAATTCAGGTTGTTTTCCAGCTCATTAAAGTGCAAGGCTGATTAATTCTCGCAGGACCATGACACAAAATTGGATTTGAAAACTTACGCACCCACTCTGCTGCTATCAGTCAAGACAACTTTAAAGCAAAGTGATTAATGGAAAGCTGACTTTGATAAACTATACTACAACACTAGAGTGGGGGGGGGGGAATTGGGGAAGTAACATAGTGGTAACAGGAGCTGGAGATTCAAATCCTACTGAAATTCTTCCATTTCAGTAATTTATTCTTAACATTTCAGGATAATTTTTACCAGGACTTTGTAAAGAGGGTAGCATTTATGAACCAGAATATTACGCTCAATCCATTTAGAGGTTTTAACAGACCATAAGTTTAGCCCATACATTTTAAAAAAGGTGTTTGGTTCATTTACTTTGTATCTTATTTTAATGTTGCCCTTTGCCAACAAAGAAAGAAACAGTAATTGTAACTGGTATTTAGGTGCTTGCTTACTTGCTTCTTCTTCAGTTTAAGGATCTGCTGTTCCACCTTTGCAATTTCTCGATCTACACGATCCATGCTCTGTATAAGCTCTTCCTTCGACAGTTTTGAAGGTGAAGCATTCTGGTCCTCTCCACATGGCTGACCAGGGATGGGAGAGGATGGCCCTTCATGCTTGCCTCCAAAAGCTGGTTCCTAAAATAAAATAATTGATAAAAAGTCAGCTGCATGGATTTATCTTCACATGTGGTAGTATGCAGCTAAAGTATTGGTAGTTCTCAAACTGTAAATGAACCAGATCTTTCAACTGTATATAGTATTACCTTGTACATCACTAACACTGTGATAGTTCTAAACAAATGCCTACAGTTCTGACAAAATTCCATTCTGGGTATCTTTACTTGATGGTCAGCTAGCAAATGAGAAACTGAAAAAGTATACCCACATTATTAAACAGTAATAGCTGCCTTGAATTTCACGCAACCCTGAATTAATAGGAAAAGATCAGGAAGTTACCCTGTTAAAATACATCCTAAAAATGTAGTCGCTGTTTACAGTTCAGCAAAAATATGGTAGGGCCTATCTTCAATTTTGCATGCACTGAACATTTGAGTAAACCTTTGAAGTGAAATATGATGAAACCCTGAATGTAGCCATGACTAATTTGGAAAATGCATCCCTCATTCAAGCCAGTCTCAATGAAACAAATTACGTGCTTTAGTTCGATTTTCCTTCAAGGTACTTTGAATTGCATACAACTGAGAAGGTGCATGTCAGTATAATACTTAGATAAAAGTCATTCACATTTAAGTGAAAACATTACACTGCGTGCATCTGCTTGATTCTTCCAATCCCCCTTTGATCTTATCTTTACAATGCAGCAGAGCAAGTTATTAAGAAATCACATACTGACATGATTTCCTAACTTGAGTTCACACATATAAGCTGTACAAAGATTATGAAAAGCAGAATAAATATGGCAATATAAAAATCTACTCATTTTAAAAATCTGGTGCCTTTTAGCTGTTGAAACCATACGTACAGAGGCACCACAAATAATGCCTTGATTTTTTTAGATGATAAGCACCTGGCACATTCCATTAAACAAACTGGGAGCTCAGCTCATTCAGAAATCATGTGCAAACATGCATTTTGAAGGTTTGTTGAGAAAAATTTAAAAGAAACTGCTTGAAAACTTGGAGTGTAATTCTGGCATGTACAAAGTTCTCTGCACTCCCATTTAAATGAGTGGAAATATGGGTACTCAGGGTCTTCCAGGTGAGGTTTGAGTGGCTTTCTCTGTCAAGACCCAGTGGTAGAAAACAGTAAAAAATCTAAACCATGGTTCTTGAAAACTTAAAAGACTGGTTTAAGTTAAATGTTCTACAATTCTGTACTAGAAACAATGAAACTGCAAACATACTATGCAACTGAACAAAATGCCTTTTCTCATCTTCAAAACACATGACTAACAATAGTTCTACTCTTAACTTGCAAGCTGTGTGTGTAAACACAACCAGGTACCACACAGCGAACAGTCAATGTGCCAAATGTTGATTACAAACTGTTCACCTTCTTGACAACTCAATTTGAATACTATTTTATTCACTATAGTAATCTCTGAAATAAAAACAGCCATCCAATTGCATTTTTAAGCTGTTAGCCCATGCCTTCACTATGACAATAAAAATCATCTTACCTTCTTAATATCTGAAGAGCGCAATCCCTCCTGCAGAGGATGTACTAAAGGTAGGACAGCAGCAGTATTGACACGCTGAAAATGGGAATCAGAAACTTGTTCAAGACGTGGACGCTTAGTGTCCAAAGAATCATGATCTGTCTGTGATGGACCTGGATGAAACTGCTGCTCATATCCAGTTCTCCTTTCTTGAGGCCTAAAACATGGAAGATTTTTTAAATGCACTTACTATCCAAGAAAACCTTATTTGGTGCTCAGTTTAATTCATCACCCTTTACTAAATCACTTAATATTTCAAAGCTTAAATGGTGAGGAGACAAAAATTTTAAATGTGTAATTCTAGAGCATAAGCTTTTACTTTATAAAATAAAATATACCTATACCCCTGAGAGCATAAGCTTTTATTATATAAAATAAAATATACCTATACCCCTGAGAGCATAAGCTTTTCACTTAAAAAACTAACTATAAACAAGTTCGTTTCAACCTACAAAAGGACAATTTAAAATAGATTCCCATCGCACCAAAGTAGTAACAGAAGTTTATACCACTGCTAAAAGTGTGTTTAAAAGAAAGGTTTGGTGCAAAGCAGAACAAAATTCAGATTGGTTAGTTTAGTATTGCATTGCATAAGAATGATGCTTCAATGAGTTCATTTTTACCTGTTGAAAAAGTTTCAAATATAGATAAAAGCAAACAAAGATTACTTGGCAACTTGTTTCAACACTCCCTCTCTAATTCAGCTGTGACAAACACTCTAGCATTTCTGCTATGAGTTGAAAGTTATTTGGAAATGACTCCTGTTCATTTTCTGAAGTAAAAGAGCAGCTTCATTAGATTCTTTGCACCAGGTCTCAAAAAAGGTCTCTCTCATGCTTTATCACCTATTCAGGGTATTTTACAGAAAAGATGACAATTCCTGTACTTTGCCAAGACTAACAAATGAGCTTTGCACAATTTCAGAGCAGTGTTTGTACTTCTGTTACCTGATATAGGGTTTTCAAAAGGCCTTACAGCCACTCTTTTTTTGGGTAACATTAACTGAATCCAACTGACATCTTCAGGAAGATGAAACATGAAAACAACAGGTTAATCCTGTACCCACGATTATGCACTTATTTATGGGAATACTCTAACTAGCAGCCAGAGCCAGAGAAGTATTTACATAGTATTTATCACCAGAATAATGATGAGCAGTGGCTCCCTCACTACACTGTGACCAGAATGAGCAATCAGGTATGGACTGGGTTTGAAGTTTAGCATATAACCAAAACAGAAAAGCAGTTTTATCTCACTGCAAGGAGTAGCATATGCATAAATCTGTACATCAGAATGTAATTATACCTGTGAGTGAACAAAAAATTAAATTAAACCAACTTCTCTGACTTGGCAAGACAAATTCATGGCAACAACAAGCTATAATTCTCAACTCTACTTGTCCACAGTTAAATCAGTGGAACCAAAAGAACCCATATCTACTTATATGCAGGCAGAACTGGCATACAAAAAACTGGTAAAATTGTTTCAAAAGCAACCAATTCCAAATGGACTGTAAAGTGACTTCCAAGAAGACCAAATGACAAATCCCTTTTATTCTCCCCACCCCCCATCCCATCCCACAGACAGTGCAATTAGCTTGTATTCTTGCACCACACTTTGATGCTTTTTTCCTTTACAGAAAAATACTTGGTTACATATTCAGGTTTATGAATTTTATTCCAAAAGAATCTAGGAAATGTAAAAAACCAATATTGAAACAATGATGATTCTTAAGTGTTGCTGCATAAGCCTCCTCACCCGTGTAGCTCAGGGAAACAAAAACTTGCACACTTTTGCCTAGAATATTATTATAATACTAGTTTGTAATATCCCCTTGGGTTCTCAGTTGCTTGCTGAGAAAGCATTGTTGAGGGAGGTACAGGGAAAGCGAAGCACAACCATCATTTCCTGTCTGTGAAAGACACATCTTATTTAAGCCACGGGACTTGAGAATTATGCCACTCGTTTAAATGAAGTAGGCGTACCAGGATGTCAAACAGCACAGCAAATCAACACCTAATTAATGGAGAACACTGAGCATAAGGCCAAGTTCTCAAGCAAAAGTTGTTGAAACTTTTTAGTTATAAATACACAATTTATACTAAAGTCTCGTTTAAAAGGTATCGCTACCGATACCTTTTATCTTTAAACAATTTAAAGACAGGATGCCCTCACCTGTCAGAGCCCGGGTGAAATTCTGAAAGCAAGGAAGGCCGTCGCCGAAGCTGCTGCTGCTGCTGTTGCAAAAGCTGAGTTGCCTGACTGACTTCCAGATGAGAAGAACGATAATCAGGAACTGCAAACTCCTACACACAAAAATAATTCTGACACTTCAGCAAGCATGAACATTCAAAGACATCAAAGACTGAGCCAAGAACGCTAAAAAGTGCTAAAGGAATCATGGTTTCTGAATTATTCTTAAAAAACAAACATGAGATTATCATAGCCTTGCTACAAACTAACAGCTAGAGTCTTAAAATGGCAGTTTTTCCATTTACCCAAGTAATAGGTTATTGAAGATTCACTGCAAAAAGTGTTCCTACAGTAGTTACAGAAATTCAAAGATATTTGGGGCATGCCTCCACATCTGACAAGGCACTGCCTAGAGAAAGGGAGGGAAGGGGTCTGTTTGAAGCAGAGGCACAACAGAAGGAAAACAAAATTTGTCTCTCCACTCTGTGTGAAGGTCTGTACTCCAGACATGTCTGGGGGGAAAAAACAGATTGTATCTATATGTTGGCAGGAAAACACAGGTACTAAATTGCACTACTTCGAGGCTCAGGGCTTGACATACTCTGTCATGGACCAGGGCCAAAAAAGCATTGTTAACCAAAGTCTGACACAGATTTAAGATCAGAGATTACAAGAACTAAAAGCTCTGTGCCACCTGAAAGCCTGAGATCCCAGCTTCCAAACGGCACGACATGAGTCCCTGGCGCCAGTAGTTCAAGAAATAAGTTGCTAGAAATACATAGGAAACAATTGCAAAGGTGCTAAACTGACAGTACAATACATGCATTCTCCAGAAGAATAAAACTTTTCCAAATATGATTGGATATAACGAGAAGGAAAAATACTATCATCTTATACTATAGCATAAATACAGGATGCTCTTCAAACTAGCATCAGCACCGATGGGCACATGGCATTAAACTGCCCAGTTACCAAACTGCTTCCCTCCTTCTGTACATCCTCTGACAAAGGGGGACTCCAAAGGCATTATATAAAAGAAAAAACAAGAAAGAAAAAAGATAACCATGTAATTCTTTACATCTCAGCAAGCTTATACATTTACTTAATGTCCAGTATATCACTAGACATTCCTAGCCAGCACAACAGCATGAGATACACAATAAACCACCCATCAGAACCGACAGCACATACATGTGTTGGGTTTTTTTGCCTCAAGACTTCCTACAGTAGCATCTCTAAGACTACATCTACGTGATAAACTTACGGGCCCTAATGGTGATGACCTTGAATGCACTGCACCGGGCAGATTGCCTCCTCCTAAACCTGAACCAGTATACACACTGCCTCTGTGCAGCAATAGGGCAGGCTGATGACAGTGCCAATAAGCCCACTGGGGCTGCTTCTGGTCTACGGGACAGTCCACCCAAAGGAACCCAAATGTGCTCAAGGATACTGCCACTACAGACAGTAGGTTTATCTTACAGATTAAGCTTATGCTGTGCAGAACAGGATGAGAGAATCCTTGACCCAAAGTTTATAACCTAAGGAGGAAGGGCCTAAAACAGTAAACCATACAATAACGTATTTATTTTAATTTACAGATTGTTATCCAATTCTTCAAGAAAATATGGAAGCAGAACTAATGCTTGACAGGCTAAACCACTTCTAACAAGTCATGAAAGAGGATATTAGCCGCAGGATGTATCCTCCTCACCACTGGTAACCTAAAAAGCCTAATAGGACGGACCTCAATTGTTCTTGAGTTCCTTTGCAGTGCTACAATGGCCAGGGGAGCCAAAGCTACCTTAACACAGCAGCCAAGCATTTTGCTAAACCAGGGGAATTCTAAGCTGGCAATCCTGCACAGTTCTTCTTGCACTGGGGAAGCTCCAGGGCAGAGCAGAAGCTTAACAGTGATGAGTAAGGATAGGACCAAAATGAAATCCTTTTGGGTGATCTGTGCCAGCAAATCAAGTCAATGAACAGCAGCTTTGGTTACTGCTTACAAGAGTCAAAGCTCTCTTTGATGGCCAGCCTGATCCCTGCCACCCTGACATGATAGGTGAAGATGTACTGTAAACCCATGTTTTCCCCTTGCTCACAAGCGCACTGAAGCCACACTGGGTTCTTCACAGGAGGAGCTGGGCAACGATAAACTCTCTTGCATCCTGTCGAGAGCACAACAGGACACACTCCTGCCATAACCTAGGCTAAGTTTTGGTGGTGCTTGTAAGCACTGTTCTGTCAGTATTTGACAATGCACACCATTCAGTGCCCTGGCTACATCTGGTCCAATGATCAAACATTATTAGATGAAAGAACAAACAAAAGAAAAGAATTTGGAATACACAACCCGTGATAAACTCATTCAAGTTAAGATGAAAACTCATTGCCAAGAGAGAAAATTTGTATTAGTTTCCCCACTGGAGCATGTGTTACTTATTCAAAAGGAAACATACAAATCTTCTTGACTGTCTTCCAAAAAAAGGCAAGCCAGCAAGCAGAAGATACATGCAGTTCTTAAAAATCAAACATTTTCAGCAAAAAAACTTTTAAACCAACTATTTATTCAACTAACTTTGGCAGCCACTTTGCTCAGTGGCCAAACATTTCCTCTATCACTCCAGGCTGGTTTACACATATTGATGCTTGAGCTTTACACTTTAAAAATAAAACTAGAGGAAATGAGACTGAAGAGACTGTCCTATCTTGGAGAGGACTCTTTCATGTAAAATATATTATATTACTATTCCACACTTCCTAAGACAGACAAATTAGATACTGAAACTGATAAGATTCTTCTTTCTTGAAGGGATTTACAGAGATGAAAACAGGAAGTACTGCTTAACAGACACTAAGAACACTTTACTTAGGGTGCTTTAACATTTTTCAGAGATTTGGTAGGCAACTATTAATATACCACATGCCACTTTTTATTCAGAGTAGCAATATTAGCTTTTGTGCCATGGCCAAATTCTAAAAGCAGACAGAGCATAATTATACATTTCCCCCATTAGTTTTAATTGGGTCCAATACTTTTAAATTGCATTGTTTTTCAAACATCCTTGACCTAGATTAAATTGGTAGAAACACACACCTGACAAATGGAATAACTGAGTTGATAACACGTAATGGAATAACTGAGTTACATGAGTTAATGGTTCACGTAATATCATCTGTTCCTTACCTGCTGATGTCGGGTGCTAGGGAAGGTGTACTGCACAGAGTGTGTAGGGTAACGACTCTGTTCTGTGCTGAATGCTCCTTGGTTAGGAGGATAGCCCGAACTTGACATTATCAGAGAAGAAGTCTTCACACAGCTGTGAGATCAAGAGCAGCAAGCAATCATGTTTCTAGAAAACAGCCTAAAGAAAAGAAAAAAAGATCACTGATAGGTAATAAAGTACCAGATGTACTCCCAATACATTATAGCCAGTTATCTAAGCAAAACAACCATTACTAGTAAAAGGTTTTTCCCTATGTTTTATTTAATAGCTTGCTCTAGTTTGAAAAATGTTAGCTCGTCTTAAAATGGGCTCAAAACATAGGTGTCAGCAATGGCTACACACAGTTGGGAGGATTATAATGTCAGAACACATCATTTTACTATGGCATTCTCCAATGGCATTAGGAGAATTTTACTTTGAAAAAAAGTCATGTACATAGATGTTAGAGATGTTGTAACTATAACAGGGTCTACAGTCAGACACACAATTGCTGATAAATAGCCTTAGGATAAGGTGTTTGGAATTCAATTCTGCTTCTTCAAGAACCGTTCTAGGAGCTGTTCTCCATTTCCTTATTCAAGTGAGTCTTGACACCAACTTCCCTAAGCACAAAGGCATCCTTCTCAAAGACAAAAAACAGAAAAATCCCATGCAACTGGTAGTGTTGCATCTTTATGACGCTATACTGAGCCTTATACCAAGCAAGGAGACTAAAACATGGTTGTCCTAAACTAAATGCCCTAAACTAAAAGCAAGTTTCCAACATTCCTGTTTTGTCCGTTAAGCCAGAGTACTATGCAACGTACTGAACAATTAAGAATAAGCATGCAGCAAACACAGCCATTGGTTTCATGCCAGGCCAGTATTGTCAAGCTGGGCCCAGAAGCCCCAACAGTAGAAAACGCTTTTTTATTCCTTTGGCTAGTCTCTTGTTCACTGCAGCACTAGTTAAATCAGCTGAAGCGTACGTTTCTGTAAATGAAATATAATGTACAAGCCTATATCAATGGCTACAATACAAATATTTAACATAGCAGAAAAAGTTAAATGATGTGTAATTAAACACCCTACATTAATGGACACACATGAGGTTACTTTCAGAGACAGCTTTCAACATTTCTTATCTATATATCGTGACATGCAGATATCTACTAACAAACATACTCAGTTGAATTCAAGGACACTTTCCAGTCAACTTGGCCTGAAGTTTGGGTTTTGGAAATAAAACGCTCTAAAACAAATGCAACAACTCTTGTCAAAAAAAAAATAAACACAAAAAATGAGGGGTTTTGTATTTTAACATATTAACAAAAATTAAAATCAGTAGCAGTTTTGGCAACAGGAAGGCTGCACCACTCTTTGCAATTCACTAGGTAATGTGACAGCATGAAAGTGAAACTGCCAGTCAAGGAGAACTCAAGAGTCTCTGTTCAGTGCGCCAGCTGAGTGAACAAGTGTAAAACTACAAATAGTGGAGAAGATGGGAATTCTGAAAGCTATCGATAATATTAGTAAGTTAACTAACACATTTTTAACAAGTTATTCCTTGTTTTAGGGCAGGAGAAGAGAAAACCGGAAATGAGCAGAAAAGTAGGTGCAAAAAATTTCAGACAGTTTGAGTGTATAATGCTTGAGCAACGATGTGCAGAGATGTGGGGGTGGTGACAGGTGGAATCTGCACCTCTGGGTGAGAGTGGTAGAGATGCAGGGGAGAAAAAAGAGCAGCAAATATCCTCCTCAGCTAATTAGAATATTGTACCACCAGCAACTAAAACTACTAAAAACATCTGTGAAAAGCTGTTTTCTTTCCTTGAAGAAATGTAACTCCCCAAAATTAAACAAGCTGCTTATTCTTGAAAATAGCAAAAAATGAAAGGAAGAGAAACTGTCATAGAAAAAAAAACGGGGAGGGGGATAGAAAACAAAGGGAATCAAGGTCTCTGGGAGATAGGACACGGGGAAGAAGAAATAAGGATGTATAAATAGCTTTTGGGAGAGGTTGGGAACATTAATAAGAGTGATTTCAAGGAGTACAAGGAGCAGAAGCCATACTAAAGGAAGTTTAGGATGGAACTGGATTAGGGTGATATTGGTGAGGCGGTCAGTGTTTAAAAGGGACTCAGCTTGCTAGTAAGAAAAGGGTGGAAACAGGTAAGAGTCTGAATAGAGAAGAACCAAAAGGTATAGAGGTAGAACTAGGGAAGTTATATATGAATGGTATGGGGGTGGTGGAGGAGAAGGGAAGTGATCAAGACAGGACCAGACTATATGCAGACAAACCAGAGAAGAAGCAGCAACAAAATAAAAATAGTGGCTGTGGACTATGGCAAGAGAAGGTGCAGCTGGTTGGGGTAGGAATATCAAAGGGTTCTAACCGTGACGTCTCCCTTTCTTCCAGGAAAAAAGACAAAAAAACAACATCGTGGCCTGTCCCTTCTCTGCCTATCACTCTCACCTTCTCTGCCACTATAACAGACTTTTTATTCTTCCCTTCTCCATCTTTTTCTCTGTCACTGGACAATATCAATATCACCACCACGTTGGCTGTTGGGCCTGTACCTGGATGTCATCTTTGTATCCGTCTTGTCTAGATAATTCATAGATTTCATAGACATTAGGGCTGGAAGGGACCTCGGAAGATCATCGAGTCCAGCCCCTTGCCCAAAGGGCAGGAAGTCAGCTGGGGTCATAGGAGCCCAGCAAGATAAGCATCCAGTTTGCTTTTGAAGGTGTTCAATGTAGGCGCTTGAACCATCTCCGGGGGCAGGCTGTTCCAGACCTTGGGGGCTCGGACAGTAAAGAAATTCTTCCTTATGTCCTGCCTGAAACGGTCTTGTAGTAGTTTATGACCAGTAGTTACATTCAGTCCAGGCCTCAGCCATGCAGATTCTTTTTGCATAGCATCTCCTGACTGTGTGAATGGTCAGGAAAGCCCATATTCTTCCACCATCATCCAAGTTTTTATCATCTCCCCTCTTGATTAATCAAACAGCTGATCACTTTGACATATCAACCTCTTCGAATGCCTCTACTGCCCTCCCTATTCTACTGCTTCATATGTAGGTTCCTTGTCTCCACCCTGGAGGCCCTTCATAGTCTATTTTCTCACACACAGGTATGAGAGGTCAGCACCAACTGCTGAAGAGCCAGTGATGCCAACCAACATCATCCCCTTGCTCAATTTACAGATAAGTGTTTTTATGCTTCCTCTCAGCCTGCCCCTTAGTCTTGGGAGGAGCTGCCCATAAACATCTGTAACATCTCATTATCCTCCTCCAAATCCCTGCACACAAGGCTCCTTTGCTGTGATTTGTCTAAGAAACACAGCAGTTTGGCCACTGGTGCTGAGACCAGTGCCAAGTATGATGATCGGTATTGTCTCGCTGTTTCTCTACACTCCCCATCTGAATGTACCCAGATATTGCCACTTGCCTCAGGTTGTTTTCTGTTTGCAACAGGGACTAATTTTGTTTTGGCAGTGGGGTCTATGGCTAGAGTTCCCATGGTACTATAAATAAAGGCTGAGAAGATGGCTACGGAGTAAGAAAAGGAGTATGTTCTTCAGCCCTGTGCTACGAGTGATTTAGGCAAGAAAATGATTCTGCAACGCTCGTTCCAAAATAGACTGCGATATTTCTCCCTGCTTTGACAGCTCAAAATGGCTCATCAGATTTGGTTCAAGAAACCCCAAAATAGTTGATCTTTGTGCTGAAATCTGTCATTCCTGGGTAATTTCTGAGAAAGTTAAGAATAAGAGAGAACAGGATATTATAAGGCTACAATGTAACTGCTATTAAAGCCTGACCCTGCAAATGTGTATTCTCTTTGAACAACTCTTAATCGTTAGTTCTCAAAATGCTCCAGAGAGAATTATGTGTTATCCTCATTTTACAGGGGATGAACCAGTCACAGGAAGATTAAGTAGCACATCCAAGAGTACGCAGCCAGTCAGTGGCCGAGTCAGGAATAAAGCCTCCTAGATCACAATCCAGCACTCTATTCACCGGACTATCCTGTTTCCCCTGCTTACGTTCACTTCCATGAATAAGGACTATTTATATGAATTGTGGTCCTTAGCATGTTTTTGCAACTATGGAAGGAAAGTGCCAAGTGTTGCCTTGTTTCACAGTACCATTCAGGCAGTTCTGAATTAGTCTCCCAACACTTGCTAATCAACCATACATCCTTTAAAGGTGTTGGTTGTAGCCATGTTAGTCTAAGGCAGGGGTTTTCAATCTTTTTTAAGAACTGTACCCCTTCTAGTGGCGGTGGCTGGATGTGAGCAAGGAGATGCTTGCACGTGGCGGCCGGACACGGAGCGGGGGGGTGCTTGCATGCCGCTACCATCCGCCCTGCGGGCCACTGACAAGCAGTGCATGACTGACCAGGTGCAAGGTCTGTCAGCAGGCCGTAGAGCCACACAGCGGCGGCGCACAATAGTGGGCATCGGCACAGGGCAGTGGGTGGTGGCAGGTGTGTGAAAATGCAAATGATTGGCAGGGAAGATCCAACGGGATAGGAGTTAATAGGTGTGAGACTGGTTGGTGGGGGGAAAACGAACAAAAGAGGGGAATGTCAACAGGTGATAAAATGCAGCTGGGAAAGTACAGGGAGGTTACCTGGGGTTATCGGATGGGGTTATAATGTGCCATAAATCCAAAGTCTACATTTAGTCCATGATTTTTTGTATCTAGTACCTTTATGAAGTGAAGTTCATGGGCTCATCTACAAAAGGTGTTTTGCAAATTCCCTTTGAGGATTAGAACTGAGAGATTAGAGAGAGAGTGGTCATTTTGTGAGAAATGTGCACTCACAGGTAACTGGTTATTCTGGTCTTTGATAGATTTTCATTGTGCATTCATTCTGGTTAATGGAGGGTTAATGGAGGGTTACTAGCATACCAGTTGTTGTTTGGTTTCTCCTACATAGTTTCCATCCGGGAATTCAGTGCACTGGATGAGATATATTACATTTCAGGAGGTGCAGGTGTAAGATCCAGGAATGGTGACGGTTTTCTTGTGAGGTGTAGTTATTGTGGGAGTGATGGAGCTGTGTTGGCAGATTTTACATTTCTTGTCCCAGCACAGTCTAGATCCATTTGGTATGAGATGCAACCTGTCTCACACCTATTAACTCTT